ATCGGACCGTTGTGGTAAAGAGGGAGCAGCGTCTGCAGTCAGAGCTGTATCAGACCGTTGTGGTGAAGAGGGAGCAGCGTCTGCAGTCAGAGCTGTATCAGACCGTTGTGGTGAAGAGGGAGCAGCGTCTGCAGTCAGAGCTGTATCGGACCGTTGTGGTAAAGAGGGAGCAGCGTCTGCAGTCAGAGCTGTATCGGACCGTTGTGGTAAAGAGGGAGCAGCGTCTGCAGTCAGAGCTGTATCGGACCGTTGTGGTAAAGAGGGAGCAGCGTCTGCAGTCAGAGCTGTATCGGACCGTTGTGGTAAAGAGGGAGCTGAGCCGAAAGGCGAAGCTCTCGATTTACCGGTCAATCTTCGTTCCCTCCCTCACCTATGGTCATGAGCTTTGGGTAATGACCGAAAGAACGAGATCGCGGATACAAGCGGTCGAAATAAGCTTCCTCCGCAGAGTGGCTGCTCCCTTAGAGATAGGGTGAGGAGCTCAGTCACACGGGAGGAGCTCGGAGTAGAGCCGCTTCTTCTCCACGTCGAGAGGAACCAGTTGAGGTGGCTCGGGCATCTGTTCCGGATGCCTCCTGGACTCCTCCCTGGGGAGGTGTTCCGGGCACGTCCCACCGGGAGGAGGCCCCGCGGAAGACCCAGGACACGCTGGAGGGACTATGTCTCTCAGCTGGCCTGGGAACGCCTAGGGGTCCCCCCGGACGAGCTTGAGGAGGTGTGTGTGGATAGGGAAGTCTGGGCATCTCTGCTTAGACTGCTGCCCCCGCGACCCGGCAACGGATAAAGCGGAAGAAAATGGATGGATGGTATGAGGTCTAATACAGAGTTGGAATGTTTAATGTGAACATTGAGCAGCTCTTTATAGTCGCAGTGTTGCACATTTATGTTCAATCCATTTTTATCTGGAAAGTTTAGCTTTAGTTCATCCACTGCTTTTGCAGTTACTTGAACAAAGACTTCAATTATTAAATACATTTTAGCATGATCATTTCCGGTATCGGTCAATATCGGTATCGGCAGAAACCCATAGTTCTGGTATCGGTAGTAAAAAAGCTGGATCAGTGCATCTCTAGTTGTGAGCAAGTCAAAAAAATTAATCGTTTGACAGCCCTAGTTACCACACATTAGCCCTGTGCTCTCCTCGGCTCAAATCGGTGGGGCTAAGGGGGGCGGGGCTAAGGGGGGCGGGGCTAAGGGGGGCGGGGCTCAGGGGGAGTTAAACTAGCGGCTTTGATGCTAACGGAGTTAAGCTAGCGGCTTTGATGCTAACGGAGTTAAGCTAGCGGCTTTGATGCTACGGAGTTAAACTAGCGGCTTTGATGCCGACGGAGTTAAGCTAGCGGCTTTGATGCTAACGGAGTTAAGCTAGCGGCTTTGATGCTAACGGAGTTAAGCTAGCGGCTTTGATGCTGACGGAGTTAAACTAGCGGCTTTGATGCCGACGGAGTTAAGCTAGCGGCTTTGATGCTAACGGGGTAAAGCTAGCGGCTTTGATGCTAACGGGGTTAAGCTAGCGGCTTTGATGCTAACGGAGTTAAGCTAGCGGCTTTGATGCTAACGGAGTTAAGCTAGCGGCTTTGATGCTAACGGAGTTAAGCTAGCGGCTTTGATGCTAACGGAGTTAAGCTAGCGGCTTTGATGCTAACGGGGTAAAGCTAGCGGCTTTGATGCTAACGGAGTTAAGCTAGCGGCTTTGATGCTGACGGAGTTAAGCTAGCGGCTTTGATGCTAACGGAGTTAAGCTAGCGGCTTTGATGCTAACGGAGTTAAGCTAGCGGCTTTGATGCTAACGGAGTTAAGCTAGCGGCTTTGATGCTGACGGAGTTAAGCTAGCGGCTTTGATGCTAACGGAGTTAAGCTAGCGGCTTTGATGCTAACGGGGTAAAGCTAGCGGCTTTGATGCTAACGGGGTAAAGCTAGCGGCTTTGATGCTAACGGAGTTAAGCTAGCGGCTTTGATGCTAACGGGGTAAAGCTAGCGGCTTTGATGCTAACGGGGTAAAGCTAGCGGCTTTGATGCTAACGGAGTTAAGCTAGCGGCTTTGATGCTAACGGAGTTAAGCTAGCGGCTTTGATGCTAACGGAGTTAAGCTAGCGGCTTTGATGCTGACGGAGTTAAGCTAGCGGCTTTGATGCTAACGGAGTTAAGCTAGCGGCTTTGATGCTAACGGGGTAAAGCTAGCGGCTTTGATGCTAACGGGGTAAAGCTAGCGGCTTTGATGCTAACGGAGTTAAGCTAGCGGCTTTGATGCTAACGGAGTTAAGCTAGCGGCTTTGATGCTAACGGAGTTAAGCTAGCGGCTTTGATGCTGACGGAGTTAAGCTAGCGGCTTTGATGCTAACGGAGTTAAGCTAGCGGCTTTGATGCTAACGGGGTAAAGCTAGCGGCTTTGATGCTAACGGAGTTAAGCTAGCGGCTTTGATGCTAACGGAGTTAAGTTAGCGGCTTTGATGCTAACGGAGTTAAGCTAGCGGCTTTGATGCTAACGGAGTTAAGCTAGCGGCTTTGATGCTAACGGAGTTAAGCTAGCGGCTTTGATGCTAACGGAGTTAAGCTAGCGGCTTTGATGCTAACGGAGTTAAGCTAGCGGCTTTGATGCTAACGGAGTTAAGCTAGCGGCTTTGATGCTAACGGAGTTAAGCTAGCTTTTCGTGGAAAGTTCTTCTCTAAGAAGCTGCAGCGTCTGTGTCTGAGACCTTCATATAACAACAGTCTGTGTTCACGGAGCTAACGCTAACATGTTAGCAGCACCAGGACGAAACCAGGACCAAACCAGGACCAAAGCAGGACTAAAGCAGGACTAAAGCAGGACGAAACCAGGACCAAAGCAGGACTAAAGCAGGACGAAACCAGGACCAAAGCAGGACTAAAGCAGGACGAAACCAGGACCAAAGCAGGACCAAAGCAGGACTAAAGCAGGACGAAACCAGGACCAAAGCAGGACTAAAGCAGGACGAAACCAGGACCAAAGCAGGACCAAAGCAGGACTAAAGCAGGACTAAAGCAGGACGAAACCAGGACCAAAGCAGGACTAAAGCAGGACGAAACCAGGACCAAAGCAGGACTAAAGCAGGACGAAACCAGGACCAAAGCAGGACCAAAGCAGGACTAAAGCAGGACGAAACCAGGACCAAAGCAGGACTAAAGCAGGACGAAACCAGGACCAAAGCAGGACCAAAGCAGGACTAAAGCAGGACGAAACCAGGACCAAAGCAGGACTAAAGCAGGACGAAACCAGGACCAAAGCAGGACCAAAGCAGGACGAAACCAGGACCAAAGCAGGACTAAAGCAGGACTAAAGCAGGACTAAAGCAGGACTAAAGCAGGTCTAAACCAGGACCCTCTCTCCTCTGTCCTCTCTCCTCTGTCCTCTCTCCTCTGTCCTCTCTCCTCTGTCCTCTCTCCTCTGTCCTCTCTCCTCTGTCCTCTCTCCTCTGTCCTCCTCTCCCCTCTCTCCACCTCTCTCCTCCTCTGCCTCTTCTCTCCTCTCTGTCCTCCTCTCTCCTCTGTCTCCTCTGTCCTCCTGTCTCCTCCTCTGTCCTCCTCCTCTCTCCTCCTCACTCCCCCTCTGTCCTCCTCCCTCCTCCTTTCTCCTCTGTCCTCCTCCTCCCTCCTCCTCTCTCCTCCTCCTCCCTCCTCTCTCCTCCTCTGTCCTCCTCCTCCCTCATCCTCCTCTCTCCTCTGTCCTCCTCCTCCCTCCTCCTCTCTCCTCTGTCCTCCTCCTCCCTCCTCTCTCCTCCTCCCTCCTCCTCTGTCCTCCTCTCTCCTCTGTCCTCCTGCTCCTCTCTCCTCCTCTCTCCTGTCCTCCTCCCTCCTCTCTCCTCCTTTCTCCGCTGTCCTCCTCTCTCCTCCTCCCTCCTCCTCCCTCCTGTCCTCTCTCTCCTCCTCCTCTCTCCTCCTCTCTCCTCCTCCTCTGTCCTTCTCCTCCCTCCTCCTCTCTCCTCCTCCTCCTCCCTCCTCTGTCCTCCTCCTCCCTCCTCCTCCCTCCTCTGTCCTCCTCCTCTCTCCTCCTCCTCTCTCCTCCTCCCTCCTCTGTCCTCTCTCCTCCTCCCTCCTCTGTCCTCTCTCCTCTTCTCTCCTCTCTCCTCTGTCCTCCTCCTCCTCTCTCCTCCTCCCTCCTCCTCTCTCCTCTGTCCTCCTCCTCTCTCCTCTGTCCTCCTCCTCTCTCCTCCTCCTCCTCTCTCCTCTGTCCTCCTCCTCTCTCCTCCTCCTCCTCTCTCCCTCCTCCTCTGTCCTCTCTCCTCCTCCCTCCTCCTCTCTCCTCCTCTCTCCTCCTCCCTCCTCCTCTCTCCTCCTCTCTCCTCCTCCCTCCTCCTCCTCTCTCCTCTGTCCTCCTCCTCCTCCTCCTCTCTCCTCTGTCCTCCTCCTCTCTCCTCCTCTCTCCTCCTCCTCCTCCTCCTCCTCTCTCCTCCTCCTCTCTCCTCCCTCCTCCTCTCTCCTCCTCTCTCCTCCTCCTCTCTCCTCCTCTCTCCTCCTCTCTCCTCCTCCCTCCTCCTCCTCTCTCCTCTGTCCTCCTCCTCTCTCCCTCCTCCTCCTCTCTCCTCCCTCCTCCTCTCTCCTCCTCTCTCCTCCTCTCTCCTCCTCCTCCTCTCCTCTGTCCTCCTCCTCTCTCCCTCCTCCTCCTCTCTCCCTCCTCCTCTCTCCCTCCTCCTCCTCTCTCCTCCTCCTCTCTCCTCCTCCCTCCTCCTCTCTCCTCCTCTCTCCTCCTCCCTCCTCCTCCTCTCTCCTCTGTCCTCCTCCTCTCTCCCTCCTCCTCCTCTCTCCTCCTCCTCTCTCCTCCTCCCTCCTCCTCCTCTCCTCCTCTCTCTCCTCTGTCCTCCTCCTCTCTCCCTCCTCCTCCTCTCTCCTCCTCCTCTCTCCCTCCTCCTCCTCTCTCCCTCCTCCTCTCTCCCTCCTCCTCCTCTCTCCTCCTCCTCTCTCCTCCTCCCTCCTCTCTCCTCCTCCCTCCTCCTCTGTCACAGACCTCGTCGCAGTCGTCTCTGTAGGACACAGGTTTAGAGATGGCCTCAGAGATCTCAGAGGCCAGCTCCCTCTGCTCCGAGATGTCTGCCATCAGCTCATCCACCGAGTCTATGTCCCTGCAACACACACAGAAGGACAGAGGGACCTCAGGACCTCAGGCTGGACCTCAGGCTGGACCCCAGGCTTAACACACCTCCTCAGACCTCCTCACACACCTCCTCAAACCTGCACAGACCTCCTCATACATCCACACAGGCCTCCTCACACCTCCTCAGACCTCCTCACAGACGACCTCAGACCTCCCCACACCTCCTCACACACCTCCTACTCAGACCTCCATGCAGACCTCCTCACACACCTCCTCATAGACCTCACAGACCTCCTCACACATGTCCTCAGACACCTCCTCTCACACCTCCTCAGACCTCCTCACTCACACACCTCCCTCAGACTTCCTCACACCTCCTCCACACACCTCCTCACTCCTCACACACACCTCTTCACTCACACACCCCCTCACACCTCCTCACTCACACACCTCCTCACGCCTCCTCACTCACACACCTCCTCACGCCTCCTCACTCACACACCTCCTCACGCCTCCTCACTCACACACCTCCTCACGCCTCCTCACTCACACACCTCCTCACGCCTCCTCACTCACACACCTCCTCACTCACACCTCCTCACGCCTCCTCACTCACACACCTCCTCACTCACACCTCCTCACGCCTCCTCACTCACACACCTCCTCCTCACTCACACACCTCACGCCTCCTCACTCACACACCTCACTCACACACCTCCTCACTCACACACCTCACGCCTCCTCACTCACACACACCTCACTCACACACCTCCTCACTCACACACCTCACGCCTCCTCACACACACACCTCACGCCTCCTCACACACACACCTCCTCACTCACACACCTCCTCCTCACGCCTCCTCACTCACACACCTCCTCACTCACACACCTCCTCACGCCTCCTCACTCACACACCTCTTCACTCACACCTCCTCACAGCCTCCTCACTCACACACCTCCTCACTCACACCTCCTCACGCCTCCTCACTCACACACCTCCTCACTCACACACCTCACGCCTCCTCACTCACACACCTCCTCACGCCTCCTCACTCACACACCTCACTCACACACCTCACGCCTCCTCACTCACACACCTCCTCACTCACACACCTCCTCCTCACGCCTCCTCACTCACACACCTCCTCACTCACACACCTCCTCACGCCTCCTCACTCACACACCTCTTCACTCACACCTCCTCACGCCTCCTCACTCACACACCTCCTCACTCACACCTCCTCACGCCTCCTCACTCACACACCTCCTCACTCACACACCTCACGCCTCCTCACTCACACACCTCCTCACGCCTCCTCACTCACACACCTCACTCACACACCTCACGCCTCCTCACTCACACACCTCACGCCTCCTCACTCACACACCTCACACCTCCTCACTCACACACCTCACGCCTCCTCACTCACACACCTCCTCACGCCTCCTCACTCACACACCTCACTCACACACCTCACGCCTCCTCACTCACACACCTCATGCCTCCTCACGCACACACCTCCTCACTCACACACCTCCTTCTCACGCCTCCTCACTCACACACCTCCTCACTCACACACCTCCTCCTCACGCCTCCTCACTCACACACCTCCTCACTCACACACCTCCTCACTCCTCCTCACTCACACACCTCAGGCTGGACCTCAGGGCCTCAGGCTGGACCCCAGGCTCACACACCTCCTCAGACCTCCTCACACACCTCCTCAAACCTGCACAGACCTCCTCATACATCCACACAGGCCTCCTCACACACCTCCTCCTCAGACCTCCATGCAGACCTCCTCATAGACCTCCTCACAGACCTCCTCACTCACACACCTCCTCCTCACTCACACGCCTCCTCACTCACACGCCTCCTCACTCACACGCCTCCTCACTCACACACCTCCTCACTCACACGCCTCCACACACCTCCTCACGCCTCTTCCTCACTCAGACCTCCTTCTCACTCACACTCCTCCTCACTACCACACCTCCTCACTACCACAACTCCTCACTCCTCACTCACACACCTCCTCACACCTCCTCACTCACACACCTCCTCCTCACACCTCCTCACTCCCACACCTCCTCCTCACTCACACGCCTCCTCACTCACACGCCTCCTCACTCACACGCCTCCTCACTCACAGACCTCCTTCTCACACCTCCTCACTCCCACACCTCCTCACTCCCACACCTCCTCCTCACTCACACGCCTCCTCACGCCCCTTCCTCACTCACAGACCTCCTTCTCACTCATACACCTCCTCCTCACTCACACACCTCCTCCTCACTCACACACCTCCTCCTCACGCCTCCTCACTCACACACCTCCTCCTCACTCACACAACTCCTCCTCACGCCTCCTCACTCACACACCTCCTCCTCACTCACACACCTCCTCCTCACGCCTCCTCACTCACACACCTCCTCCTCACGCCTCCTCACTCACACACCTCCTCCTCACTCACACAACTCCTCCTCACTCACACACCTCCTCACGCCTCCTCACTCACACACCTCCTCCTCACTCACACACCTCCTCCTCACTCACACGCCTCCTCACTCACACACCTCCTCCTCACTCACACGCCTCCTCCTCACTCACACGCCTCCTCCTCACTCACACGCCTCTTCACGCCCCTTCCTCACTCACAGACCTCCTTCTCACTCACACACCTCCTTCTCACTCACACACCTCCTTCTCACTCACACACCTCCTCCTCACGCCTCCTCACTCACACACCTCCTCCTCACTCACACGCCTCCTCACTCACACGCCTCCTCACTCACACGCCTCCTCACTCACAGACCTCCTTCTCACACCTCCTCACTCCCACACCTCCTCACTCCCACACCTCCTCCTCACTCACACGCCTCCTCACGCCCCTTCCTCACTCACAGACCTCCTTCTCACTCATACACCTCCTTCTCACACCTCCTCACTCCCACACCTCCTCACTCCCACACCTCCTCACTCCCACACCTCCTCCTCACTCACACGCCTCCTCACGCCCCTTCCTCACTCACAGACCTCCTCCTCACTCACACACCTCCTCCTCACGCCTCCTCACTCACACACCTCCTCCTCACTCACACAACTTCCTCCTCACGCCTCCTCACTCACACACCTCCTCCTCACTCACACACCTCCTCCTCACGCCTCCTCACTCACACACCTCTCTCCTCACGCCTCCTCACTCACACACCTCCTCCTCACTCACACAACTCCTCCTCACTCACACCACCTCCTCCTCACTCACACACCTCCTCCTCACTCACACACCTCCTCCTCACTCACACACCTCCTCCTCACTCACACACCTCCTCCTCACTCACACACCTCCTCCTCACTCACACACCTCCTCCTCACTCACACAACTCCTCCTCACTCACACACCTCCTCCTCACTCAACACACCCTCCTTCTCACTCGAACGCCTCCTCACGCCTCCTCACTCACACACCTCCTCCTCACTCACACACCTCCTCCTCACGCCTCCTCACTCACACACCTCCTCCTCACTCACACACCTCCTCCTCACTCACACACCTCCTCCTCACTCACACAACTCCTCCTCACGCCTCCTCACTCACACACCTCCTCCTCACTCACACAACTCCTCCTCACGCCTCCTCACTCACACACCTCCTCCTCACTCACACACCTCCTCCTCACTCACACACCTCCTCCTCACGCCTCCTCACTCACACACCTCCTCCTCACTCACACACCTCCTCCTCACTCACACACCTCCTCCTCACACACCTCCTCCTCACTCACACGCCTCCTCCTCACTCACACGCCTCCTCCTCACTCACACGCCTCCTCACGCCCCTTCCTCACTCACAGACCTCCTTCTCACTCACACACCTCCTTCTCACTCACACACCTCCTTCTCACTCACACACCTCCTCCTCACGCCTCCTCACTCACACACCTCCTCCTCACTCACACGCCTCCTCACTCACACTGCCTCCTCACTCACACGCCTCCTCACTCACAGACCTCCTTCTCACACCTCCTCACTCCCACACCTCCTCCTCACTCACACGCCTCCTCACGCCCCTTCCTCACTCACAGACCTCCTTCTCACTCATACACCTCCTTCTCACACCTCCTCACTCCCACACCTCCTCACTCCCACACCTCCTCACTCCCACACCTCCTCCTCACTCACACGCCTCCTCACGCCCCTTCCTCACTCACAGACCTCCTCCTCACTCACACACCTCCTCCTCACGCCTCCTCACTCACACACCTCCTCCTCACTCACACAACTCCTCCTCACGCCTCCTCACTCACACACCTCCTCCTCACTCACACACCTCCTCCTCCTCACGCCTCCTCACTCACACACCTCCTCCTCACGCCTCCTCACTCACACACCTCCTCCTCACTCACACAACCACTCCTCCTCACTCACACCAACCTCACTCCTCACTCACTCACACACCTCCTCCTCACTCACACACCCTCCTCCTCACTCACACACCTCCCCTCCTCCAGAAACACCTCACTCACACACCTCCTCCTCACTCACACACCTCCTCCTCACTCACACACACCTCCTCCTACGCCCTACTCCTCACTCCTCACACACACCTCCTCCTCACTCACACACCTCCTTCCTCACTCACACACAACTCCTCCTCACGCCTCCTCACTCACACACCTCCTCCTCACTCACACACTCCTCCTCACGCCTCCTCACTCACACACCTCCTCCTCACTCACACCTCCTCCTCACTCACACACCTCCTCTCTCCTCCGTCACTCTCACACCTCCTCCTCACTCACACAACCCTCCACTCACAACCTCCTCCTCACTCACACACCTCCTCCTCACTCACACAACTCCTCCTCACGCCTCCTCACTCACACACCTCCTCCTCACTCACACAACTCCTCCTCACTCACACACCTCCTCCTCACTCACACTCACCACCTCCTCCCTCATCCACCACCCTCCCTCACTCACACACCTCCTCCATCACCCACACACCTCCTCCCACACTCACTCAAACTCTCACACCTCCTCCTCACTCTCACTCCACACACCCTCCTCCTCACTCACACGCCTGCTCTCCTCACTTCACACGACCTCCTCCGCACATCACACACCTCCTTCTCACTCGACGCCTCCTCAAGCCTCCTCACTCACACATCCTCGTCCTCACTCATCCACCTCATCCTCAGCCTCCTCACTCACAACATGACCTCCCTCCTCCACTCACACACCTCCTCCTCACTCACACACCTCCTCCTCACTCACACACCTCCTCCTCACTCACACACCTCCTCCTCACTCACACACCTCCTCCTCACTCACCAGAACACCTCCTCCTCACTCACACACCTCCTCCTCACGAGCCTCCTCACACACCTCCTCTCACTCACACACCTCCTCCTCGACTCACACCACCTCCTCCTCACTCCACACACCCGTCTCCTCACTCACACAACTCCTCCTCACGCCTCCTCACTCACACACTCCTCCTCACTCACACAACTCCTCCTCATCACACACCTCCTCCTCACTCAACACCTCCTCCTCACTCACAACACCTCCTCCTCACTCACACAACTCCTCCTCACTCACATGTCGTGCGCCTCCTTCAGGCCTTGGCAGCGTAGCCCATGTTCTTCAGCACCTCCGTGTTGGTGTTGGCGTTCTCCAGAGAGTCTCTCTGGAACTCAATGGTCGACAGAGTTCCATCGATCTGCTCCAACTGTTTCTCCAAACGCTTCTTTCTCTTCAGAGCCTGGATCGCAGCTGCAACAGACCAGAACCTCTGCACCAGAACCTCTGGACCAGACCAGAACCTCTGGACTAGACCAGAACCTCTGGACTAGACCAGAACCTCTGGACCAGAACCTCTGGACCAGAACCTCTGGACCAAAACCTCTGGACCAAAACCTCTGGACCAGAACCTCTGGACCAGAACCTCTGGACCAGAACCTCTGGACCAAAACCTCTGGACCAAAACCTCTGGACCAGAACCTCTGGACCAAAACCTCTGGACCAAAACCTCTGGACCAGAACCTCTGCACCAGAACCTCTGTAACCTCTGGGTTGGAGGGGGTCACAAAAGGGACAATACTCTCTCACAGCCTAACATGGTACACCTCACATGGTACACCTCACATGGTACCCCTCACAGCCTCACATGGTGCCCCTCAAAGCCACACATGGTACCTCTCGCCGCCTCACATGGATCCTCTCACAACCTCACATGGTACCTCTCACAGCCTAACATGGTACACCTCACATGGTGCCCCTCAAAGCCACACATGGTACCCCTCACAGCCTCACATGGTACCTCTCGCCGCCTCACATGGTACCTCACAGGGATCCTCTCACAACCTCACATGGTAGCTCTCACAGCCTCACATGCTACCCCACAGCCTCACATGGTGCCCCTCACAGCTTCACATGGTACCCCTCACAGCCTCACATGGTACCTCTCGCCGCCTCACATGGAACCCCTCACATGGTACCTCACATGGATCCTCTCACCTCACATGGTAGCTCTCACAGCCTCACATGCTACCCCACAGCCTCACATGGTGCCCCTCACAGCTTCACATGGTACCCCTCACAGCCTCACATTAAGGTAGCCTCTCATGCCTCACATGGAACCCCATGGTTCACACATGGTCAGCTCACATGGTACCTCTCACAGCCTCACATGGTCTCGCTCTCACAGCCTCACATGGTACCTCTCACAGCCTCACATGGTAGCTCTCACAGCCTCACATGCTACCCCACAGCCTCACATGGTGCCCCTCACAGCTTCACATGGTACCCCTCACAGCCTCACATGGTACCTCTCGCCGCCTCACATGGTACCTCACATGAATCCTCTCACAACCTCACATGGTAGCTCTCACAGCCTCACATGCTACCCCACAGCCTCACATGGTGCCCCTCACAGCTTCACATGGTACCCCTCACAGCCTCACATGGTACCTCTCTCCCGCCGCCTCACATGGAACCCCTCACATGGTACCTCACATGAATCCTCTCACAACCTCACATGGTAGCTCTCACAGCCTCACATGCTACCCCACAGCCTCACATGGTGCCCCTCACAGCTTCACATGGTACCCCTCACAGCCTCACATGGTACCTCTCGCCGCCTCACATGGAACCCCTCACATGGTACCTCACATGAATCCTCTCACAACCTCACATGGTAGCTCTCACAGCCTCACATGCTACCCCACAGCCCACATGGTGCCCCTCACAGCTTCACATGGTACCCCTCACAGCCTCACATGGTACCCTCCGCCGCCTCACATGGTACCTCACATGGATCCTCTCACAACCTCACATGGTAGCTCTCACAGCCTCACATGGCTACCCCCACAGCCTCACATGGTGCCCCTCACAGCTTCACATGGTACCCCTCACAGCCTCACATGGTACCTCTCGCCGCCTCACATGGAACCCCTCACATGGTACCTCACATGGATCCTCTCACCTCACATGGTAGCTCTCACAGCCTCACATGGTAGCTCTCACAGCCTCACATGGTAGCTCTCACAGCCTCACATGCTACCCCACAGCCTCACATGGTGCCCCTCACAGCTTCACATGGTACCCCTCACAGCCTCACATGGTACCTCTCGCCGCCTCACATGGTACCTCACATGAATCCTCTCACAACCTCACATGGTAGCTCTCACAGCCTCACATGCTACCCCACAGCCTCACATGGTGCCCCTCACAGCTTCACATGGTACCCCTCACAGCCTCACATGGTACCTCTCGCCGCCTCACATGGAACCCCTCACATGGTACCTCACATGAATCCTCTCACAACCTCACATGGTAGCTCTCACAGCCTCACATGCTACCCCACAGCCTCACATGGTGCCCCTCACAGCTTCACATGGTACCCCTCACAGCCTCACATGGTACCATCTCGCCGCCTCACATGGAACCCCTCACATGGTACCTCACATGAATCCTCTCACAACCTCACATGGTAGCTCTCACAGCCTCACATGCTACCCCACAGCCTCACATGGTGCCCCTCACAGCTTCACATGGTACCCCTCACAGCCTCACATGGTACCCCCCCACAGCCTCACATGGTACCCCTCACAGCCTCACATGGTACCCCCCACAGCCTCACATGGTACCCCTCACAGCCTCACATGGTACCCCCCACAGCTTCACATGGTGCCCCTCACAGCTTCACATGGTACCCCTCACAGCCTCACATGGTACCTCACATGAATCCTCTCACAGCCTCACATGCTACCCCACAGCCTCACATGGTGCCCCTCACAGCTTCACATGGTACCCCCTCACAGCCTCACATGGTACCCCTCACAGCCTCACATGGTACCCCTCACAGCCTCACATGGTACCCCCCCATAGCCTCACATGGTGCCCCTCACAGCTTCACATGGTGCCCCTCACAGCTTCACATGGTACCCCCCACAGCCTCACATGGTACCCCTCACAGCCTCACATGGTACCCCCCCCCACAGCCTCACATGGTACCCCTCACAGCCTCACATGGTACCCCCCACAGCCTCACATGGTGCCCCTCACAGCCTCACATGGTACCCCTCACAGCCTCACATGGTACCCCCCACAGCCTCACATGGTACCCCTCACAGCCTCACATGGTGCCCCTCACAGCTTCACATGGTGCCCCTCACAGCTTCACATGGTACCCCTCACAGCTTCACATGGTAGCTCTCACAGCCTCACATGGTGCCCCTCACAGCCTCACATGGTGCCCCTCACAGCCTCACATGGTGCCCCTCACAGCTTCACATGGTGCCCCTCACAGCTTCACATGGTGCCCCTCACAGCTTCACATGGTACCCCTCACAGCCTCACATGGTACCCCTCACAGCCTCACATGGTACCTCTCTTGTTCCTGGTCCCATGCCTCTTCGCCAGCTCCAGCTCGTGATGGATCTTCTTCTCCAGAAACTCCTGCTTCTTGCTGAGCATGTCCTCGGTGTCTCGGAGCTTCTGGATCGCCTCCTGCGTGGACGGTCCTTTCCCGCCTTTGCCTCCTCCAAACATCTTAGCGATCAGCGCCATTTCTGCGCCACCCTGCCCGGACTCTGATTGCGGTTTGGGGCCGCTGTACGGGCTCTGTGTCCGGGGACGGTGCTCCTCCGCTCCCGTTATGATGTTATGTCACACGTAGGATGATTGTTGACAGCTACTTCCGCAAAGGCCCGTGACGTCACGTGGCAATGATCATAGATACGTTTTTATATGTCTACTCACTTGTGTTTTAACATTAATTCTTTCAAGAAATGCATTTTTTATATTTATATAAATAAAGAGTAGACACCGCATCGGTCTCTACCACTCGTCATCTTGGACAGGTCACCCTCTCCACTCCGCCATCTTGGACAGGTCACCCTACCACTCCGCCATCTTGGACAGGTCACCCTCTCCACTCCGCCATCTTGGACAGGTCACCCTACCACTCCGCCATCTTGGACAGGTCACCCTCTCCACTCCGCCATCTTGGACAGGTCACCCTACCACTCCGCCATCTTGGACAGGTCACCCTCTCCACTCCGCCATCTTGGACAGGTCACCCTACCACTCCGCCATCTTGGACAGGTCACCCTCTCCACTCCGCCATCTTGGACAGGTCACCCTACCACTCCGCCATCTTGGACAGGTCACCCTACCACTCCGCCATCTTGGACAGGTCACCCGCTCAGTGCCATCCGTTTGGCAGCGCTGTAACTCGCTGCGTACTAAACTTATTTAGGCGTTGTTTTTGCTGTAAACATCACATGTAGCAAAGATACAGGACACAGGGTTTGGCGTGTATTCACAGTGGGCTTAACAGTAATAGAATATTCTGATATGTATTATTGGTAATTTGCAAAATTACCTTTCATATGGGGGGGGGTCTGTGTACACTTCGGGCAGAGCGTTTGAGCGAGCGTGAGTGTGTGAGTGAGTCAAAACAAAATTAGCATCACACGCTAACGGCCCTCATCCTTTATTATTTATGTTTTATTTTCTCTTCAAACAAAATAAGATCAAATGAATATGAGGAGCAGGGGGAGGTGAGGAGCAGGGGGAGGTGAGGAGCAGGGGGGGGGAGGTGAGGAGCAGGGGGAGGTGAGGAGCAGGGGGAGGTGAGGAGCAGGGGGAGGTGAGGAGCAGGGGGAGGGGAGGAGCAGGGGGAGGGGAGGAGGGGAGGGGAGGAGGGGAGGAGGGGGAGGTGAGGAGCAGGAGGAGGTGAGGAGCAGGGGAGGGGAGGAGCAGGGGGAGGTGGAGGAGCAGGGGGAGGGGAGGAGGGGGAGGTGAGGAGCAGGAGGAGGTGAGGAGCAGGGGGAGCTGAGGAGCAGGGGGAGGTGAGGAGCAGGGGAGGGGGAGGAGCAGGGGGAGGGGAGGAGGGGGAGGTGAGGAGCAGGAGGAGGTGAGGAGCAGGGGGAGCTGAGGAGCAGGGGGAGGGGAGGAGCAGGGGGAGGTGAGGAGCAGGGGGAGGTGAGGAGGGGGAGGTGAGGAGCAGGGGGAGGTGAGGAGCAGGGGGAGGTGAGGAGCAGGGGGAGGTGAGGAGCAGGGGAGGGGAGGAGGGGAGGTGAGGAGCAGGGGGAGGTGAGGAGCAGGAGGAGGTGAGGAGCAGGGGGAGGTGAGTAGCAGGGGGAGGGAGGAGCAGGGGGAGGGGAGGAGCAGGGGGAGGGGAGGAGCAGGGGGAGGTGAGGAGCAGGGGGAGGTGAGGGGGGGGAGGTGAGGAGCAGGGGGAGGTGAGGAGCAGGGGGAGGGGAGGAGGGGGAGGTGAGGAGCAGGGGAGGTGAGGAGCAGGGGAGGTGAGGAGCAGGGGAGGTGAGGAGCAGGGGAGGTGAGGAGGGGGGTGAGGAGCAGGGGAGGTGAGGAGCAGGGGGAGGTGAGGAGCAGGGGGAGGTGAGGAGCAGGGGGAGGTGAGGAGCAGGGGAGGTGAGGAGCAGGGGGAGGTGAGGAGCAGGGGGAGGTGAGGAGCAGGGGGAGGTGAGGAGCA